AAACAAACAAACAACCCAATGTATTGAGGTAAACCTCAATATCTCCAGACAAAATATCAATTAAGATCATAAGGTCTCCAACATAGGCCAAGGTTTCTAATCCTAAGTCCAAGAAGTCCAATGCTTCATAATGCCAAGGATAGTAACCAAATAGTCCAAGTATTTTAAATGTTTTTTATGGTTCATGTTGATTATTAAGTGTCTTAGAAGAGAAAAGAAAAGGCTCAAGTGAGAAAAATAAAAATGACATGAAATGTAATGCTTAAAGTAAATGTTACATAAAGCATAAAAAATAAAAGGACATAAAGTAAAAACAATTTAATAATTAGTGGTTAGTTGGATGACCATCTTGAAACTTGCATTTGGAACTCATTAGAGGATTTGTAGAACCAAAGTCTCCACACAACAAGTTGCATTTGCTTTTTGTCAAGTATATCATCCATTTGGAATCCTCAAAAGTACCATTTAATGATCAGCAATGTTTAAGTGATCCGCATTGACCAAAAGTGTTGTAGATCCATTAGAGGATTGGTAGAACCAAAGCCTCCACACAATGAATCTCAAGGTTATTTAATCTCAAGCACATATTTGTTTTGAGACATGATATAGAGATCATGCTCCAATAACACTTAGTGCAATGAGAAAGGGACAAGATAAAGAGGGGTGAGAGAGAATATACAAACCACATTTAAATTAAATTTAAATCAAACTATTATTAAAATCATTCATTCATTTTTATGGAGTTAGACTCAACACCATGGATCTAATGATGTTAATAAAGTTCATGATCAAAATTCAACCCAAGTTCAACCAGAAAATAATCACAAAATAATATTACAATTAATATATACATTAAAAGTTTTTTTTAAAAAAATGTTTTAAAATGGAAATAAGAAAGAAAAATATCAACTACATTCAAATTAATCAAGAAAAATTAAGTAAGACCATAGAAAAATCATAAAAGGACTCAAATATTTTTGTAAAATTTTTGGCAATTTTTAAAAGTCAGAAACTATTTTAAAACTAATTAAAATTGTTCAAACAAATAGAAAATAGGTAAAAATAGTAAACATCAATATAAAATTCCCTAAAATTTTCAAAAAGGTCAGAAATATGCAAAATAATATTTAGAAAATTTTTTAGAATTATAAAATGTCAGAAAGCATTTTTAAGGTAATTAAAACAAAGAAAACAATGCAAAAAATATTTTAAAAAAATCAATTTTCAAAATAAAAATATGAAAAAATATTCATGAGATCAGAAATAAATCAAAGTATTTTTGTGAATTGTTTCATAATTTTTGGATAAAAAATAAAAGAGTTATGAATTTTTGAAAATTAAATCAATTAAAATATAAAAATCAGAAAATAAAATAAAACCAAAAAGAAATGGGCCACCAGATCATAGTCAAAACGCGTTAGTAAGCTAATCCAATGGATCAGACGCGTTGTGCTTGATATGGACCTTTGTAAGATGCGCAGGGAATCAGAAAAAGGCTACCAATGAAATTAAAATGTTTGGCACGCAATCATTGGCTGAGACGAGACATATCATCGTCTTCAACCTCCAACCACCCTGCAATGGAGATTTTGTGAGATCCTTCAAACGGTAAAATCAGGATCCCAGACCAGTATCATTGGATTCGTCTCTTCAAGACGATCCTAACACCACCATCGCGCCAAATTTATATAAAGTATACAAAGAGATATGAATTAAAAATCCAGAAAATAGCGAGCACCTTCAATTTGAGATTTCTCTCTCAATTCTCAATGGATTTAAAAGTTGTAAGAAGCACTAGAATCAGAAGAAGGAGTAGAACATGTTAGTGCTTTATTTGGATCCAAATGGTGGAGAATTCTGCCTTTTCAAAATTCAAGAAAGAAGCTCTGAAACTGGACTTTTGTAGCTTGGATTATAGCTCGTTTTGCTTGGTTTAAGTTCTGGAGAGTTTGTATGATGCTTAAGGAAGATGAATGTGCAAAGAATTTTGGAAGAAAAGGCTGGAATCTCATAAACTGATTTCAAAAATTTGAAGTTCATAGTGTTTTTGGCTCTCAAAGCTTGAGGAAATGAATGGGGGATGACCCTCTATTTAAAGGGAAACAAATGGAATGTTCAAGCGTGTGAAATGATGAAGTTTGGAGGGAAATCGTGTGAACCTGATGCACGAGCAAAGTGTGATCTGATTTCCATCAAAACTCATCCAATTCTTGAGTTTTAAGGCTTTAATCCACTTTGGCAACTTGGTTAAACATGTTTAGATCACAAACGCGTGCTAATTTGATGTTTAGAAGCCAAAACATGAATTTCAAATTCTGACTTATGAAGAAACTTCAGTTCCAAGTTACCAAGTTCAATCCAATGGCATTCTCAGCTCAAGGGGTCTTAAGGCATTCTTCTTGATGCTTTAGAAAGATAAGGTTACAAGCTTTGCAATGAAAAAGGAATGGAATCAAATGGATGCTTGAGCTGAAAGTTGCATTGAGTCAAAGTTGGGAAAAAGAAGTTGACTTTCCATACTTAGAAATATTTCAAGTTTTTCTTCAAAAGTGACCTATAATGTTTTGCATCCAAACATGGCCTTCAACTTGGAATTTGCTCTTGACTAAAACAAATGGCATGAAATAGACCTCTTATATGAAATTTTGAAACTTGAATCATTCAAAATATCCAAAAATCGAGAGAGTTATGAATTGCTGAAGTTGGAAAGAAAATCATGAAATGACCTATAATCTTTTGTATCCTTAGGGCATCTTCCATCCATTTTATCACTTTGCACATAAAATAAGGGGTAAAGTTCACATCCTCAAGATCATTATGGAAAAATAATGGGCTCAAGGTGATAAAAATTGACCAATTTATGATCATTTAAAGTCACACATGGGGAAATTGGGGTTCATCTGGAGGACTTGTAATCTTTCTTCATCATCAAGTTTCTTCCACATGAAAACACCTTGAAACTTTTGAAGTGATTTTTTTATAACCGTTTTAAGATAAGGATGTCTTTTGAATCACTAAAAAATACCAAAATATGAGCAAGATATGCTTCTTTGAAATTCAAAACCCTAGCTCCTAGATCAGGAAAGTACTTTGAATAACTTTGACAATTTTGAACAAACTTCTTGTACCAACACAAATTTTTTGTAAATAGAAGTTGTTGCGGATGAAAATGATAACTCATATCCACTAAAACCACTTCCATATATTGAGAATTGAGAGAAATATTCACTTGTGACCAATGGGAACAAAGCCTTGTCCAAGCATGACAACTTCTTCAATCAACCCCTTGTACTTTTGAATCAAATTTGATAACATTGAAATATGGTGAACCAAAATAACCTTGCCATGCCATTTCTTCCAAAACAAATACAATGGTGAGGTTTGAAATTCTCAAGCTTTATTGACTAGGGCATGGAAATAAACTCATGAACCCATGGAGAAACTTACTAAATCTCATTGCCTTTACCTACATTAGTAACAAGCAAGACAAACCAACATTGCATTTTATTAAATAAAAGGAAAAATCAAGACAAAATATTCATGATCACAAAAGAAAACAAGTCAAGGTGCTTGGTGATTCCTCAAAGAGTAAAGCTAAAGGTAAGGAGGAGAATCAAGAACCCTGATGTGATCTTGTTGTGATTGAATCAATATGGTATGATGAAGGGATCTTAGAGGGGGAAATTGGGGTACAACAAAGTGTTCAGAGGATAATCAAATGGAACTAAAAAATTTTGGTTTGTTTTTGAGAATTTGATTCATGCAAGTTTGGAAACCTTATTCATAAGTGTTTCTTGGAATTGTAAGTTACAAGTGCAAATTGTTAAGTTCACAAGACAACTGTTTCACTCATAAGACTAAGGCATCATGACCTCAGACTTCGTCATATCATCATTACATCAAATACCATTTCAATTAAAAGAAAAATTGAAAACCTAGAAAGATGTTTTGAAGAATGTCTTATTTAAATCCACAAAAATTCATTTTTAATACCATGTTCATCAAGCTTTAAGAGATACAAAACTATTTCTGTCACGAGGTCTCAAAAACCATGGCCATTATGAGGGTACATCACACGTTCATTACAATTGTACTTGCGAGTCTACAAGATCACTTCCCATCGAAAATGACAAATAAAGATAAACCTAGTCCTAAGCTTCACGCCACTCTATTCCATGCTTCAAAGTTGCTCCATCTTAAATTATATCTTAAATTATATCTTGATGGTATGACATGATATGCCCTTTTAATGAAGACAATGCCTTGCACATATCCAGACATACGCATCATACACAAAACTTGCACATGACAGATTCATCAATTTCAGCCTTATTTCAAATATAGCAAAACCAATGAAACTCAAAATATTTTGAATCAGCTTGCAAAAAAGGGCAGGATATCAAGAAAAGTTCACTGGAAAATTGTGTCAAATTTCTAATAGAAGATCAAAGCGTATCAGCTAGTTTCATCAATAACGGAAAGTCTCAGGATATAAAAATATTGATTCATTTCTAAGTGTAATGAGAAGAAATCTCAGCCATCTAAATCTCTAACAGAAATTCAATTCAACGACTCATATTCTCAGTTTCCTAACAAACTGTAACTAACTTCTGAAAGCTCATAACAGAAATATAAGACATAAAAACTCACCATAGAAGATCATTCTCCAAATTATGGAAGAACCACGAAAATATCTTTCTTCTTTCTCTCTGATTCATCTTCTTTCTCTGCTAACCGCAACCTCCATAACTGCACCACACATCTTCCTCTATCTTCATCATTTTTCTAAACTGTATTCTCAAAACCTTCATCTTCACTTTCTTCACCAATCTTCAAGTTGCACCATCGCTTTTTCACCTTCAAACTGAATCTTCTCCCTCTGTAACCTTCCTCTATGCAACAATAATCTTCATCAGCCTCCGTTTGTTTCACAACAACAACACGCGTCACCAAACACATAAAAACACGTAGAAGAAGAAGAGGAGAATGCAGAATCGAGAATGACAATTATAAGTATACCTGAACCATTGATCTCTGGTTTTCTGTTTGATTTCATCATGCTTGGAGAATCACCAGAGTTCTCTGGTAGGTAAGTATTTAACTGCTTATCGTTTCTGCATTGCTGTGTATGCAAATTTGTGGCATATAGCTTTGTTGTTATTCACTTTAGTTTCAGATTTCTCCAAAATTGCAATCGGGCCTTGAGAAGCCACGATGTCGAAATCGGAGATGAAACCGAATCTGAAGACAAACTGAAGCATCTGAAGCCTGAAATCGCGAGCGAATGGAGATGCAATAGTGCTTTGTTGAAGCACGATTGACGAAGAAGATTAGAAGCTGAGAGTTGAAGAAGTGATGTTGAAAGGCGGAATCGAAGAGGAGACATAGAGCGGGGGTATGGAGCCATGGCGTTGATTGAGCCGAAGAAGAGAGAGCAGTGAGGTTGGCCGCCACGGGTGAGATGAGGGAGAAGGGAAGTGTTGTGGGAGATCAATAGCCACAAATGATAACCCTAATCCCTTTTCAATTTTTTATTTTAATTCTTTTTTTTAATTTTATTTGTTTTTTAATGCATGTTGGATTAAAAAAAACTGGTGGATTGAGATAGTGTTGTTGGGCTGACTGGAAAAAAAAACATCTCACTTAGCCCACAAATCCTTTTTTTTGAAGCCTGGTTGTTATGACAGAAACTCCCTTGGACTTATCTGGTCTGGGCCTAGCACCCTTGTTCTGGTTCACACCTCTTGCAACTTGATTCCAATTTTCACCCCCCTAACTCTATCTAATTGTTTTAGTTTTTTTTTTCTTTTAGTTTAGATTTTCTTTAAACATTTTAAATAAAATTTAGTGATAATAGGACAATAAAAAATATGTATAATTTATGACTTTCTTTTAATTTTTTTTTGTTGTGATAAAAAAGTATAAAATCAATAAAAATTTGTTAGATTTTTTATTTGATTTTAGGAGTTGATTCATATCTATCCGATTACTTGAGATTTGTGATTCACCTTTGCTTGTCAAGATCTGAATCTTATGCAGGTTTATTGTGTGATATGCAAATATGCTTGAGATTTCGATTATGATTTATTTTCACATCGATGATGCTTCGACGTTTGTTCTGAGCATTTGATCTCTGACTCTTTTCTTTGATTGGTGAAGCTTTCGTGAAGATCATCGGGTTTATTTGTTTTGATACGTTTACTACGAATTGATATTTGTTTGGTATTTTTTCTAGTTTATCTCATTTCAGCACTTTAAATTTTTTTATATATCATGAGAAGTAGGCACTTTACTGCTTTTCTAGACATCATGAGAAGTAGGAAATAAAGAGTGTGCGCTCGAAGTCGCTGTTTAAAGTCCTGTAGCATGTACCACTTTTGTATTTTATTTGTGTTTGTTTAAAATCCTACCTTTGAAGTAGGTATTATGCACGTGCGTTTACATTTGTGCCCGCATATATCATAGGTGATAAGTCCTCAATAGGAGGCGAGCAGAAAGGGTCCGTAATCGACCCCTGCATATTAATATATGTGTCATCCTTGGTTCATGTTGAACGTTGATGCTTCGGGGTTGTGCAGATCATGTGTATCGAGTCACTAATATGGAGAAGGGTTCGCAACCAACCTCCGTACTTTGTCAGGAGTTCACGATGGCCATTGCTTATACTTCGCTACCCGCTTGTTTGCATTGGGTGATTCACTCCCCTTAACTAAAGCACTTCTCTTGTTGCCCCATCCCTTTGAGCCAATATATGCTACTCATGTTTGAGTTCTTTTTCCAAAGCACTTGTTTTCTTATTTGTTTGCTATACCATGCTCCCTTAGGATCGCTCGATTAGAGTAGCTTTCGAGAAAGACATTAGGATAGGTATCCATGCATGCTGACATAGTGTAGAGATTTCCCTTTCATAACTCAACCTTATGATCAATCATTGTATGATAACATTAGGATTAGATTTAGGATAGTCTCCCTTAGATATTTTTCTTTCTTTTTCATCCTTGTGTTTGTTTTCGCACTTGTTCAGTTCAGCAAGAGTCGCCACCGACTTTTTATTTCATCCAAAGGAAAGGTCAAAAAGCACAGGAAAGACCTTTGAGATGTTTTCTTGGGTTCGGGGGGTAGATTATGAAAAGGGAAGGTGCTAGCACCATTTTCATCCATGGTTTTCCATGGGCTCTTAGTTACTTGTTTTAGATCACTTGCCTTTGCTTTTCAATTGTTTTGAAATGGTGCTTGGTGTGTGCGGTTTTGAAAATGTTTTGAAAAAAGATGCCTTGTCTAAGAAACCTTTGTAATAATTCTTGTTTGAATATATACAGAGGTGTGTGTCTTTTTTTGAAAAGATATTTCAATGTTTTGAGAGTTGTTTTGAAATTGTTTTGAAGTTGTGTTGTGAAGTGTGTTTGAAAAATGGCAAGGAAGTTTTGCAAGTTTTTGATCAAGTAACTAAGAGTTGTCTACCCTATTCTACTCAAAGATCTTTCTTATGCTTTTAACCCCTTTTAACAGTGTTGCTTCACCATTGTACTTGGTGAACAACCTTGTGTTAGGATGTTAAATGGGACAGGCGCGGGTCATCGTATACAATCATTGAAAGCAACTTGTGAGACGCTCTAGCAATTTTGTAAGGGACGAGATCTTTTTATCGAAGGCAACATCGAGGGTCATCGAGGGACTACGATCTTTGTATATCAAAGTGACATTTGCTAGAGTGTCTCGTATTCGAGGGACATGATTGCATTTTCCGAGGCAACAAGCGAGGTTACCCTAGAGGTGCAAGTATGCATTGTGTATTGATTTTCATGCATTTGTCTTGTATTAGGTTATCTAGCGAGTGATTTTGAATCTTGCCATACAAACCCTAATTACTATACAGTATATTGAAAGCAATAAATTGCGGGAATTTAAAGTCTAAGTAATTACAAATGAGTATCCAGGAATGGGGGTACAATCATTTACAAATGGGGATGAGTCTTATCAGAATAATAATGTCCCAAATATTATGGGTTACAACCAAATCGAATCGACGCAATTCAAATATTAACAAATTATAACAAAACATAAAAAATAAAGAGAATCAAAAGTATTATGAGATGCATGTATTTATTTACAAATGAAACAAATAAAATTTAACCTAAGGAAAATTAAGTATTGTATTATTATTTTTGTGTTTTTTTTATTTATGAAAAGAAAAAGTTTTAAAGAAAGAACATTATTTAAATCAATATTTCTATTATTTTTATTAAAGGTAATAATCATTAAAACAAGAAAACTAAATTAAGAAAATTAAAACAAAATTTAATAGACTTTTAGTTTTATTATTCACAAGAATCAAATTATGAAAGTAAAAAAATATTAGTTTTAACAAAGTTAAAAAGATGACGGGCCTTAGGAATTATTGGTTTTAGGCCCCCAAAAAAATGGAAGTAGAAATAAAATATAAAAAAAAACAAAACAGATGAAATGGGGAGGGGTATGTGTTAGCCAGCATTTGGACTTAAGCAAATTGGGGCGCACGGGCCCAATTGAAATATTGTGACAAATTTTGTTAGGGTTGATGTTTGGTGTACTCAGAATTTAGGGTTTGCAACTTTTTGGCCACAGCGGCGCCTCCTTCTTCTTTCGTTCTCTTTGTCTCTCTCAAACGCCCTCTCTCTCTCTATGTCCTAGGTTTCCAGGGCGCCTCCCTCTCTCACTTCCTCTCCTCTCACAGCGGCCCACAATTGTGGTTTGAATGGTACGAGTTTTTATCTTTCTCTTTCGCGCTTTTTACAGTTTTGTTCATTTGTTTGCATGTTCGTGTTTTACAGTTTTAATCTCTTTAACCTATGATGTTTTGAAGAAAATTTACCTTGCGGAAGACGGAGAGGAAAATGGAGGAAGGGAGAGGGATTTTGGCGCCTCCTTGGTGGCCGATCAACGGAGGAGATGATGACGACGGTTGCTTGTTCACTTTACCAATATCTCTGTACTTTCTTGATTTATTTGGATGATGATCACTCTGAAAACTAGCTTATGTTGGCTTGATCTTCGTTGATGATGAAAATATATTCTGAAACTTTTGCTCCTTTGTTTGTTTTTTTTGGCTTGATGATTCGTTGATGATGAAAATATATTCTGAAACTTTTGCTCCTTTATTTGTTTCTGGATCTCTTCCTTTCTTTTGGCTACTGATTGTTCTATGATGAAAATATATTCTGAAAACTTCTTTATTGTTTTGCCTCTAAACTCTTCCTCTCTCCTTGTTGACCCTGATTATTTGATGATGATGTTGTTCTGAGAACTGCTTTGGTTGCTTCTTCTTTGTCTTTCTAGCTTGTTAATGTTAGTGATGATGAAAAAGAAAATCTGAAACTTGTTGGTTCCTTGTTGTCTTGGCCAGCTTGTTTTGAATCTATAGTTTTGACATATTTGAGTAAGTTGAAGTTTTTCTATTTAATTTGCAGTTGGTATTTCAGGCTTGATTTGTTGGTGACAGGTTTGTTGAGCTTGAGTAAGCTTAGCATCTGGAACTGTGATTTGCAGTTTTACAGGTTTTGTGTTGTTTGTAGCTTGCAGTTATGGTAAGTTGCAGTTTGTGATGCATGTTTTTTTTTAGATGCAGTTTTGCAGATTTGTGAGTTTGGCTTGCAGGTTTGTTGTGTTTTGGCTTGGATTGTATGTTTGTTGAGCTTGAGATGCAGGCTGCAGATTGGGGAGTTTTGGTTTTTTAACAGCAGTTTTTGCAGTTTGTGCCTTGATAGCAGGTTTGCAATTTTGTAAGGCAGGCCTGTGTTTTGGTTGTTTACAGGTTTTTGTAAGTTGGGTAAGTTTTGGTTTTTGAGAGTTTGAGTCAGGTAAGAAGGCTTGCTGGTCTGTAGCTTTGTAATGCAGGTTTGAGTTGTTTTATGGGCTCTATGTCCCCTCTCCCTGGACTGTTATGCAGTAGCCTCTTTATATCTTGTTGTTTTCTTTTACTGTCTTGAAAAACCTGCTTTTGCCAAAACTGCAAACTTTTTTCCCTCAAAGGTTCTCTCTTTCTCTCTCTTCATAATCATTTTTAATTGCTTATTATATTTAAATTCTGAAAAGTTTGTCTAGTGCTGGAAAGTGATGATGGCTTGGACAAGCCTTCTTGCTTGTAACTTGGTTTATCTTGCTGCATTGTTGTACTTTTGACTGCATGTTTCCTGCATTGTGTACTTTGTTGCTTTTGCAAGTTGCTATGCTTTTTGTAACTTAGTTTTGACATGCTTGGTTACTGCAGTTTGAAACTCAGTTTGCAGTATAGTTTGCTTTGTATGCAGCCTTGTACCTTTGTATTTGAACCATGTTTTTGCAT